GCCCCCGAGGCCTAAGGCCCCCAGAGACCCATCACCAGGATTCCGGGTGCCGAGCCATGCAGGCTCTTAGGACCCGGGGTTTCCTCCCAGCTCCCAGCGACACCCCAGCAAAGCAGGATGGCGGAAGGAAGGAAGGAGAACCGGCCGCCATTAGCCACCGCAGTATTGAACGGCCGGGCGGCCCCAGCCTTGGCCCCAACCCGGCCCAGCCCGCGGCTCGGCTCACAACCTGAAAATAAAACTCATGTTTGAGAGGGAGGAGCGAGCGCGGCCGGGAGGACAGGCAGCGCCGGGCTGCAGGCTGAAGAGATGCTGCGTCATGGTGCCAACATGGACGCCGGCCTTTTGTCCTTTTTCTCTTTGGAAGAGCAGGCGAGCCCCGGAGCCCGAAAAGTTGATTTAAGGGTGCAGAAACACCATAATCAAACGGGAGCGAGACCTTAGGATGGGTGGGAACGTTTCCTCGCCTTTCCAGCCCCTCCATCTTCAAAGCACTTCGATTTCTTCTCTGTCACCAAGGTTCAGATCTGAGGCGAGCCAAAGGGACTAGCGCAAGGCAGCTCCATGGATGCCCCAGGGTACTGGGGAGATGCTCTCTTCGCCTTTGGGGCAGAAGAGGTAATGGGGTCTGGAGAGTCTTTGTCCCCTCACCCGCCCACTGTCATCGGTTGCCAAACTCAAGCTCCAGAAACCTCAGCTCCCATCATCTGCAGCCCATGGCCTGCTCAATCAAGACTTCCTCGAAGGGGGCAAAAGGCACTTAAATTTTTTTTATTATTATTTTAGTTTTTTTTTACTTACCCGCTCAGCCCGGTGCTATGGAGTCTAGAAGAAAAAGCTGGGTGGTGTTTTTGGAGTTGTTATTATAAAAATAACAGTTTTTTTGTTGTTGTTTTGGTTGTTTAGTTGGGGAAAAAAATCTGGGGTTATGTTCTTTTGTTACCTTTTTGTAAGTTACACTCATGGTATTTCTGCTCCTTCCACGACTGCAAACTTTCCAGGGTTGGGCCGGCAAAAGGCGGCTTCGCTGTGGACTGTTTACTGCTCTGGATTTAGCAATGGTGTGATCGTCATTAAGAAACAAAAGGCGAAAACACGGTCAAATCAAACAAAAGGCAAAATAGTTCACCAGCCATCCCCACCATAAGAAACACCACCGAGTTAACGTAGGTGTTTGGCTCGAACCAGCTAGGACTTGTTTTCCAGTTTTAATCTAGTTTTCAGTGACGGCTTTTAGTCTTTGTAAAGAAAGTCTTCCTTTCTCTCACCCCCCCACCACCACCCAAGTCGAGAAAAACAGCTGTTTTTCTTCAAAATAGATCGATTTTCAAAGAAAGTGTACGAGTTACTGGGAAGAAATCTGAGCAGCATCTATTGCTGTAAACATTTCTCAAAAAGCTTGAACTAAAAACCGTAGCTTTATAAAAGCAAACGTCTAAAAGCATTTTAACTGACTTACATCAGACCGAGACAAAGACATACATGCAGATGAAGGTTCCGAAAATTCAGGACATCTCAGGCGACAGTAACATGAAAACTGCAGTGCAGTAAGGACAGAATGGACTGGGTACTTACAATGTAAAAGGATTTTAGAAAATTTAACAGTAACAACAGCTCACAATTTTGTTGTTGGCTGCCATTTCGCTATTCTTACAACCATACATTTAAAACATTACCTTGTTAAAAAAGAGTAGTTAATAAGATGGCCAGATTAAGTGTTTAATAGAGGAAACTATATTTAAAAATTTATTGTTCAGTCAAGAGAATACAGATTAAGACAGCTCCAAGCTCTCCCCGCACCCACCCAAGAAAAAAAGAGGAAAAAAATTAAATATGTCATTTACTTAGGTTTTTTTGAATTCAAAACTGTTAACTGCTGACATTAATAGTGTACTATGACCTAGTTATACAAGACAAAGATGGATTCCAAGTCATAAGGAAAAATCCAGATCTTTTTAAAAGGTCTTCTTCATTCTTCCAAGTGTGAGTCCTTTGGCAAATGTTAAACACATTCAGGCGTCCTGAACTGGATGGTGGAGTCAAAGGAAAAGCATTCCCCATTTGCAACAAAGGAAAAACCCACTTGGCCATTTAATTCCATTGCAGAAAAATGGCTCCCCTCATCTGTTGGCCTCTCCTTGGAGTCTGATGAAGGATGTTTTGAGATCAGCGTCTAATAACTCAAGCCCTATAGAAGCCGCGTGCTGATTGGCTGCCGCGCCCTGCCGCCCTGCTCCAGCCAATTACCTACCCACGGCCAAATTACAAACCCCGAAAAGAGCCCCAATATGAAATACACCACCACGAAGCCCCAAAGAGGCGGCTGCTTCGCCTCGGCAGCCCGAGAAGAGAGGCCGAGGGGTCTGCAAACATATCCACGCGAAGCCGGGGAAGCTTCTGAGTTGAACTCACAAAATGGAAGCCGAGCGCTGATTGGCCGCCGCCACTCCCGGACCTTTAATAAAGAAAGGGGAAGGAAAATGATAAATGCAAAAAAGGGGACTCTCTGTCGCTGGTGGCTGGAGGAAGGAGGGAGGAAGAAGCATGTGTTCAGGACAATTACTGGGCGCTCCCCTCCAAAAATAAAAACAGAAAGAAAAAAAAAAAGAGCTATCTTCCATGTCCAGGCGAGGGCTGTATCCTCCCAAGAATGTGAAGGCTAACGTGGTTCCAAATCTTGGTTTCTCCTCCCCAGTACAGCTCCAGGGAGGGAGGGGGTGTGCGGGCCGAAGAGGAAGCGGGATCGGAGATACCTCGATTGCAACTCGTTTGGGGTCGACGTCTGCCGGCCCCAGGCTCCTAGTATTCAAACACACAATCGCCCCCTCCAAACCCAGCCCTTTCGCCGAGTCTCCACGCGCCGACCTCCGGTCTGGGCAGTTTGGAAACAGTTTGGGAGGCCTAGGGGGCGCACGCCGTGGAGCGCCCCGAAGC